TCTATGAAAATTTATAATTTTATAAATATTTGTGTTTAATAATTCTCATTCATATTTATTTTGTTCAGAAAATATTAGTAAAATAAAACTGAAATACCCATACAACGTGTAAAGAAATAATCCTTCACGGAAAAAATATGCTAACCAGAAATCGATGAGATTTTTAGTTTTTAATCATCTTGTCGAATAGCTCTAATCGAGAAATCATAAAAGCAAAAAAAAAAAGCCCAAAATCTAGTGTTCTGTGCTATGCAAAACAAAGATTACTATATATACCAATGTAGAAGCGTCTACTCAAAATTAACAAATATCGGGAATGAGAGACGCAGACGAAAACAAACATGATTGTTTGCTGCGCACACACAGAAGGGCTCTGAAATATATTCACAGAGCATTCAAGATAATATAAGGGATATTTTAAACAGATTCATCATCGGAAGGCTGTGATAGCAGCATTTTCTGGTGACGCTGTCGCTTCAGTGGTGGCGATTCTTCACCAAAAATCGCTTTTTCCATTATCTCCGTGACAAGATGTGGGTTCGTTTCTTTCAGTAATCGCCAAGCGTGTGATGCAAATACGGAATGGTTTGTGCGTAGCTGTAACTACTCAATTTGAATGACCCGTAGGGATGTAAATGCACTAGCATAGAAGCATATTTATTAAAATCTGAAGCGGAAAAAATAAGTCAAGAGTTATTGAAATTGAAGCGATTAAAAAAGCAAAGAAGCAACAAATGACAGCATAAAAGAGGGATATGGATTATCTCATTTTAGGACAGAAGAATGCAAGAACAAAAATCAAAACGGAACAAGTATCTAAATGAAGTTGCAGGGCAGCCAGGAAATTCTTTAAATATCTATGCAAGGGAAAAGGACGTGGTTCTAAAGTCATCCGCAAACTTACCAAATCGACTGCGGCTCTTCGAAGTATTTTACAGTTATAGAGATCAGCCAAATACAGCATTTCTCCAATATTATTTTTATCAATCTGATTGCAAAGCTTTCGTTCGCAAATTAACTTAAGGTCATCCATTTGATATCTTTCTGCTAATGTCAGTACATTTGCCACTTCGGTATCCAGTTCCATTTCTCCCGTATACATATATCGTAGCATACACCTACAAAATTCTATAAAAGTTGAAGGCAACTAGACACAAATCTTCGAATGAATATTGCATAGTGGTAAATGCAAACAATAATTTGTGGTGAGTCACTAAGTAGAAGACGAATAGTAAAAATAAAGTATATAGCTTTTATGTATAAGAAATAACTATTATCAACTTTGCACGACAGCGAAAATAAAAAATTGAATACCTCACAGCTTCATATTCAGCGTCTTCAATAATAACTTTCTTCTCTGTACTTTCTATCAACTCATCATACGAAAACATCGCTTTAAATACCTGCAACAATATTATCTCTCTAGTTCTTTTCTCATTCCGTCAATACAGTTAATATTTCCTTGCTGTTTAGTATTTAGTAATGATTTAACTTCAGCAAAGTACAAATAGACTTGCCTCTGAGTGAGCTGATAAAACAAATTTGTTAACAGGAATCTGTCTTCCAGAGCATTCCAGAACGCAGTCAGCCATAAAACCATTGTCAAATGCTGCTAATTGCCGCTTCACGAAGTCACCACTTACCTAAATCAGATGTGACTGGCGAAAGAATTCTAATTAAGAAAGTGCAACTCAAAAGAAAATGTAAAACTACCTACCGTTCGGGCATTTGTATTAAGCAACTTCCAAGAATTGTAACACTGAGTATGGTTGATGTCTGGTAACAATTCAATATGGCATGATATAACAAGTGAACCATCATCCCGTACGCAGTTCAGAATCTAAACATTTCAAAAATTATCATGTCATTATAATTTTTTTTTTTGCTCGTCTTTCACGGTAGCAAAGAAAAAACGAAGGAAAAAGGGTGTCCAATCCATCAAAATACATAACATTATTTAAAAGTTTTCGTCTCTTTCTCAAAACAAAGTGTAAAATAGAATCTCCCTCAAGTGACAACTTCTCCTTCTCGTTTTAAACTTTACACTTTTAAACTTCAAGCTTCTTTTGAACTTCATAAATCGTGTTGATAAAGTAACTGATGCTCCTTTAAAAATAAATCCAACTTACATTCAACTATTTATTAATTACGAATAACAATTCATAACCTTCTGCTTGGGAATATTGCGCAAACCCCAGGAATGTCCACCTTTGGGAGGTTTAGCATGAAATTCACCAACGTTGACATTACTGAACAGCGCTACTCCTTTATCGTTCAAAAAATGAAACCGATATTCCACTTTAATACGTACCTGAACAGAAATATAAAATTCAAACCAATCAATTTAAAATATTCAAATCGAAAAGAGGTCAAAATAAAAACATAATGACCGAAATGAATTTAATGGAAATAATAAAATGGTAAATATGTGATTATTGCATATTATAAAAGTCCTTTACGAATTTCACACCTCTTTCGTTGGTGATGTAGAAGACATTTTCAGGAATAATGAAACATTATTTGCATTCTCAGCTCGCTTTCCTCCCGGATATAAACATAGCTGCCAGAAAGCTTCCGGAAGTTGCGGGTGACGGAACAAACCTGTTCGTAAGCAGTTTCCTGGTAGAGCAAGTTTCACGAGAGTTGTGAAGTTCTCAATCTGCAAGAACTTCATTATGATGAGCTTCAGACTAATTCTACGCAATCCATTAAACTGTTGCCATTAAAAAAAAAAGGATGGTGTTAAAGAAAAAAAATCTTTCTAACCTCTTTTTTAAACCATTTTCTCATCAAGAGTAGTTGTTAAGCCAAGTCCATAAGTCGACAGTTACAAATAGCATTTCTATATGTGCCAAATGGCAGTAACAAAACGACTTTTCATGAATTCAGCTCCTTTTGCTTAACAAAAAAAATGGATTTACAAAAACTTAATTCATTTTCGACATCCGAAATCCCATCAGATTCATCAGTAAAACTTACTCTAAAGATACAAATTTCTGTTTGCAATTTTTTAAGCAAAGAAAGATGTTGTGGCTTACAGAGCCTCAATTTTAACTCATTATTTTCTCCTCAGTTACAATAACCTAAGCAAGTCACTGAACTGTTTAGTTTTATCGTAAAAACGAATAAATGGAACGCCTTATGAAATCAGTATTGCTGCGTCTAAAATCTACAACTGCTACAATCAATATATAATTCACTGGCAAACTAATGCTATCTTCAATGCATCATCAAAAAATTTCATATCAAATAATCAGAATCTCTATTATATTCAAGTTTTTTGTTCTTTTGTTGATAATTCCCAATGTAGAGAAAATATGAATTACTCCTATGTCGTCTTTAATTCATGTAATCGGTAAGACACACCATTTTTATTCTGATTCTAACCGAAAAAACTTGCCCGTTCTTATGACCCAAGTAACAACAAGCACTGAGTATTTCGTCCAACACTGCACCAGTTATTAGGCAAATTTCACAAAGCTACGCTGAACTTACATTATTTGTGACAAAAATTTCACTAGTTGTTACTTCATACAATCTATCCTTTATTTTGTTTACAATTGAGTATAAGCTTAATCTTTTACATTAAACAAAAGAAATACAAATATTTCTATTTGTTAAGCAGAGTATTTTCAATCTTACTTTCCACTGTTGACTGAGGTGCAGTGCATCCACTGGAGTAATATAGGAACTCTTCGCATATGTACCAGGTGACGTGTCACACGTATATTTCTCAGATCTGTTCATACAACACACCTAAAAAATCATAATGTACAATGTAAATCTATAATTAAATAAGGTACTGTAAAGTGACACCGTAAACAAGCGTTGAAAAAAAAAAAAAAAAACTATTCTAGAAAAATTAACTGTTCAAAAATACGTCTTCAAAATAAAGCAAATATAACGAGATAACAGTGTTTCATCATTGCCATATATTTTCGTTCAAAAATTTTTGTTTGGAAACTAATTTTACAAAAGACAAAGCAGCAAAATGACAAAAAACTCCTATTTCACGATCTGCCTATACTGAAAATACGCTGTTCTTTGATTAAAAACTATGCATTCCACGTCATAGAAAAAAAAAATCTTGGTATAAATAAATTATATAAAAGTAATTATTAGAATGAATACAACATTATCTACTGTGAACATTAATGATTTATTATTTTGAAACAAAAAAAAATGAACATTTAAACATGTCATCTGTATGTGGAATTTAGCTCTGAACGTAAGATTTGGAATTCCTACTACTCTAAATATTTCATGAGATATCTTGAGTCTTTTTCAAATGCTTTCTCCAATATAAATTATACACAGATCAATGAACATAACTAGCACGAAAAGAAGAAAGCACTGTTTGGGAATATTTCCATTCTTTGCGTACGTGATCAGTTGACCTTTCGATCTGTTCAAACCATTGTCCATCATTGTCCAAGAAATATCAACAAATTACCATCTAGCATGTCATCCGTCCGTGTCATCAAAGCCACACGGACCTGTCATCTCCCTCTATTATGTCAGATAATAATTGTAGATCGAACCGCTGAATACTTTTCCTTATGAAAGATGCTGATCCATTAGTAGTGGTTGGTGAGTTTCCGGATGACGACCGGAGAAAGAGGGGATTTGTTTCCGAAAGTTGAGGGAAGGGAGCAGTTTGTTCCGAACAATATTTTGATTCATTAACTCTCATCCACTATTAATTAATCAAAGTAATAGCTTTGGGATAGAAATTTAACAATAATAACCAAATCAAATAAATCTATATACAGCTGTTCACGGATTATGTTTCCTTACTAAATTTTCATCGATTATAGAGCCATGATGCTTGAAGAAATTTGGTTTAAAATTCGAGAATAAATTTTAGTGTTGTTAGTTGTATTATTTAATAATTGTCAGAATAGATTCAGAATTTTAGAAACTAATTCTAATTATCGTTATCGTTATTATGATTATATTTTGCTTATTTCTGTCAAACTGAAATGAAATTACAGGACTGAATGGATGATGATGATTCGGTGTTGATATCGAGTATACGAAGTCAGTTAGATCGTCTTATGTTACAGCTGGCTGAAATTGAACAAGAAAATTAGGTTTTTAACTGTATTCAGATCTATTAAAGATATAGATATTATCCATAAATTGAATTCTGAAGAAGAGGAAAGGAATATGAAGATGTTTTCACTAGAAATACTTAGCGTAAAGTTTTGAATCTCATTTTTTATATTTCAGAAAAGTTATAGTATTCTGGAGATACATGACAATATTTGGTATGCAATGTTATATTTTTATTTTTTAGGGATTCGTTGGATAACGATGAATACTTGGAAATGAAGAATGAAACAATAGAGCAGTTGAAGGTAGTATACTCTCATCTTTCTGAAATTTAAGGTGTTTAGCACTTTGCACATTTTCGTGCCTTTTTGCGATTTTTCACACATTTTTGTTTTGTGGATGAAACTATACGCATTGGTTGTTGCAAATTTTCTATTTTGATAAATTGTTTTTCAGGAACTGGAACGTACATTGGATCGTATGAAATGTGGTGATTTTTCGTTAACTGATGAGCTAACTGCTACAAAAATGGTAATTTTATTGTGAAAATTTTTTATTGGAATATAAAATACTTAATTACAACTATTGCAAATTTAAAAGTAGATGTGTTAGAATTATTGCAAAATTATTCTTGTGTTTATCTGTTTTATTATTTGTTTGTTTTTATTTATTTTATTTAGGCTATTCAAAATGCAATCAGTGAAGCATTTAAAACGCCGGAAATTGTGGCAATTTTTGCCAAAAAAGAACCTGCTTTACTTCGGCAGAAATTGATGCAGGTTAGTTTTTTGGTAAATTTAAAACTTATAAAAAGATGCGATAGTGCTTTCGTAGAACTTTGATCACTAATAGTGAAGAATGGAAAGAAGGAATATCATAGGGTATGAGTGATGGAACATTCGACTGTTTAATGATGTGGTGTGAATTACTTAGTTTAAAATCTTGGGAGTAGAGTATATGGGAGATTTTTTGATTTATCAGTATGATATGGAAGGATTTATGTGGTCATCGAATTTCGAACAGTGTGGTTAGTGTATTCGAGAGTTTGTTTAGTTTATTGATATAATGTAGATACATTTGTTGTTGATGTAACGCGAGCAACCAAATTTTAGGTAGAAGCCGAGCATCGCTTACGAAAGATATCAGACGAAATATATGAAGCTAAAAAATTGGAAATTCTGCATGCTTTATATAAGTTAAACGATCACTTATCAGATGAAGAACGAAGTATTATCGAAGCTGCCTCCAGAATTTCTGATTTTCAATTTGAATTAGCGTCCAACCGTTTGAGTTGCGATGAGTCTATTATCAATATGAACTTGTAACATCGGCGCTCACATTTTTTGATTCTTATTTCAAGAACAGCTTCTGTCCAAAGTATGCTTCTGTACAAAAAAATGCATTTTTGTGGCTGTTAAGTTGAAAATGTTAGATTATTTCTTGATTGAAGTGGCATGCCGTTAAGTTGAAAATGTTTTATATTGTTTCTTGGTTGAAACAGAGCTCAATTATAGTGCTTGTTTGAAACGGACTAGTCTTTTTCTACATCTGTTTGTCGAATGATTTAATGAAAATATGGCTCATTTATTGATGATCAGTGCTTTATAGTCTTTTCATCTGTCAGTTATCCGGTATCATTATTTGTACCCCTCTTCCTGCTCCTTATTTGTTTACTAATTATTGAGTATTCACTCTTCGTTTCGTGTAAGTTGTGTATCAAAGCATTTTATACACAGAGCTGATGAATTCTTTTCTTTATGTCGATTTTTGTTTAATAAATTTTTAATGTATAAATTATTTCATATTGTAATAGTTCGGTTCATTCAGTAAGGAATTATAGATTTTGGACATTTTTAACAAAAACTGATGTACATTTATATTAAGATCACTTTAAGAGTGATTTTTTTTTTTTTTTTTTACCAAGCAGTCAATTGGGAAAGTATATGTAACTTTCATTCGTTTCATAAAATTTTATTTGATTATATCTTTTACATGCTATTTTCATAGTATAAATGGAATATAACATTATTGAATATGTTATCATTTAAAGAAAAATTTAGAAATTAATTTTCAAATTACTCATATAAATAACATAGTGAAATTAGTTTTATTTAAACTGATATCTTTTTTGACATGCATAATGCATCTTATATCTCAATTTCATAATGTCATGCAGGATAAAATTAATTTATCTAATATAATCTGTTTGCAAAAAAGTTTCAATAACTTGTAATATTGTGACCATCAATATGAGATAGCAGAGATTATTTCACTGCTGTAAAGTGACGTCAACAAAGTTAGCACAAAATCTTCTTAGATGCATTATTACTACTTAATACTTGATCTTTCATTGTATTGTTCATATTTCTTTTTATTGCTTTGTTCCTTAATGAAATTATAGAAATATATAATTAAGTTTTATTCTCTCCTTTTATACCTGTTATTATCGATATGTAAGTTAGTGAAATAGAAAATAAGAAGTAGAAGCATTAGTTATTCTTACTCTTACAAACATAGATTCTTCTTGTAGTGCAAATATAGAAATAAAATGGAATGAAATGAAATGAAATGAAATGGAATGGAATGGAATGAAATGGAAATTAAATAGAATGGAATGAAATGGAATGAAATAGAATAGAATAGAATGTAATGAAATGAAATGAAATGAAATGAAATGGAATGGAATGATATTTATCCAAGGAAGAAAGCATCGATTTAAGGAGAATTTCGAGAGTGTATCGGATCGAGATGGAAGAAGGGATGAAAAGAAAGAGTTCGTTCCTCTTTTCTCATCTTTAAGCTTCATTTTCATCCTCCTCCCACATCATTCCTGTTCCCTTCTTCCTCTCTTAGAGTTATTCATTCATCTACCTCCCTCCTTCTATTCTACTTTTCATCCTTTCACCCCCGCAAACCTTCTTCACACATAGCTTTTTTTTTTTTTCCCTTTCTCCTTCTTCCCATTTGTCCCCCCTCCCCTTCCCCCCTCCGGCAGCCCGTTTTCACCAATTTTTAATTAATCTTACCGCCGTTGTTTATATTTTTCACCATGAATACTCCAAAATATTGACAAATCATCATTTACAATCTTAGATTACTCTTTTACTCACCAATATTTACCCTAAATTGTATTGATTCTGTTATAAATATATTCTTTAAATTTTACAATCCAATAAAAAAAAATTTATCATTTCTTATCAATTCTTTGACATTCTAATTGTTACTGTTATTATCCGTTAATCATTTTATTGTTTATTATTTATTCTATCTTCAGATTATTTCAATATTTTTTTTTTTTTTTGCTTTCTAACCACTAAATTCATCTTATTAATTGCTCCACTAATAATTAATTACTCGTCAAATGTTATTTACTCACAAAACAACTAACATTGGTATTTATTTCCATTTCGAAAATTACTATTATTAAACTTTTTGAGGATTTACAAATGTGGCATTCACTTCGATCAAACTTAGTTTAATTTATTTCATTTTAATTATTTCCAAAATTTTTGATGTATTATTTATGCAACGTAAGCATACTTTATCACATTTCACATTCATTTTTGCTTCTCTTTTAAATTTTATTCTATAATATTTCTTATGTATTCATCTAGTTAAAATAATTATAGTTTTACTAAAGTAAATTAGTATTAATTTCATATCACTAAATTTGAAATTAGTTGAAATAATTGTAATCTTACTGTGGTAAACTTATCAGTTAACATATAAATAATATAGTAAATTTTATTAGAAAAAAAAAAACAAAACAAAATTCCATACAAAAATTCAACTCAAAAATATTGCTCAATAATTAGCCTTAGCTAATATATATACTATAGTATCTTATCAATATCAAACATTGTTTATTGTTAATTATAACTGATAAATTATAATGTCTTACATTTATATAATTTATTTTGTTTACATCCATTATTTCTTTTTCTAGAAATAATTATCGCAATAAAGGCAAAGTTTTATTTTTGCATTTTTTTTTTTTGAATTAAATTCAAAAATTTTCCACCACAACTAGAAAAAAAAATTCTTTTTTACTTTATTGATTAATTGTATTATCATTGGAATAGTGGTTGTTTGCATTCATTCGATAGATGATGATTTGCTTACTTTTTTCTTACATTCTTCATCATTTTTTCATTCTCATCTCTTTCTCTTCCTTTTATCATAATAAAAAAAATATAAAGTATAATGTGATATGATATGATATGATATGATAAGCGATGATTTTCAATCCTTTATTCTGCCTTCTTTTTAAACTTAATTAGTTATTTATATAGTAATTATTGCATTTAAAATTTGTTTCATAGGTGATAAATTTGTTATTTGAAATGATTTTTTTCATACAAATAAAATTAAAATATTGAAAAAAAAAAAGAGAATTTTTTCTTTTTTAAATTTGATAATTAATAATATGCAAAGGAAATAATAATTAGTATACGTACGTCATAATGAGACGTACGTACTGATAATTGTTCTTGTCTTCTTGGTTATTTACTTTTATAGTAGTAGTAGTTATAGGCTTGTCAAATTAATAATTTCTCAAATATCTTAATAATATATACTTAGCAATTATGTCATACTGTAAAAATTACTAACAAAAGTTGCTAAATGCTAAATTCAAAATTGAATTGATTTTATAGAATGCCAAAAAGATGTTACATCTTCATTTTTCATTAATGAAATTTGAAGCGATACATACAATCAAAAAGCTTTAGCAATTATTTTATCATAAAAAATGTTAGAGATAAAAATGATCTCAAAAATTTTTATCTACCTTATCCTTTTCTTTTTTTTTTTTTTTTTTTTAGAAAATTTTGGTTACCCATGACAACGAGAAAAGATGCATCCTTCCCATAATTGTGGGTTATTGTGATGAAATTGGGAAGTGAACATTTGTTACTAACGGGTACAATTAATATATTCATCTTACCTGGATAAAAAAAAAAAAAAAAAAAAATAGCTATCAAATAGATATAATTTAAAAATAGGGCAAATAGTATCATTTCTAATATACAATCTAAAATTCATTCAATATTTATTCATTGCCATAATAATTTTAAATTTAAAAACAAAAAAAATAAAAAATTCAACTTATCAATATTGACAAGTTTCTTTGATTGACAACAAAAAGTGAAAATTGTGATTTGTGATTTCTTTCTTAGTAAGAAGAAAAAAAAAATAGATGAAATCATTGTAAAAGAACCAAAAGGTACGAATTTGAGATATTTCAATCAAAAAAAAAACCCAAAAAAAAAAAAAACAAAAGATGAAAAAATGAAACGAAGTCTATTTGCTCTTTCATCTGTGAAATTTTTTGCAAAAAAAAAAAAAAAAAAAGGAACAATTTAAATTTCAAATTTTTATAAAATAATGAGCCAACAAAAAGACATTCCAATTCAACCATTTATTTGAGTTTCATTTGAAACGATTAAAATATTCAACTTTCATTTTTTTTCATCAGAAAAAAAAAAAAAGGAATTGTAAAAAGTGAAAAGATTATGCAAGTTTTTGCAGTTTGCATGTGAATGCAAAAATGAAAAAAAAAATATATTTCATATATTTTCTGATAATAAAAATTTATTCTAACGAAATGAGAGAGAGAGAGAGAGAGAGAGAGAGAGAGAGAGAGAAGGAGGGACAGAGCAAAAGAATTTAAAAAATTTCTTCCATCAAAATATTTCTTCCGCCAGAATATTTCTTCCGCATCAAAATATTTCTTCCGCATCAAAATTCCGGTGCGTAATCAATGGGGAATAGATGAAAGAGTAAATCTATCAAAAGATAATACTCAATGATAAGCTTAATTGGTAGAAGTATTTGCATGTAGCTGGAAATTATTTAAATTACAAACATTGAAATCACTGATAACAGTTTGAAGTGAATTTAATTTATCATTGTTGATAAGAAAGAAAAAAGTACATACAAACTTAAATTATTATATTTCATTCACTTTTTCATATTTAATTTTATGCGATTATAAATTTTAATTCTTAATTAATTATCAGTTAATGCTTGAAATGTATTTTAATCTAATCCATCAATCAGTCAAAATCCATTTTCTGTTATCATTTTTAAAAGTACAAAATTGAAGGCTTTTCTCTTATCATTCAAATTCTTCCTTGTATAGTTATTATTTGAGAAAAGATAGATGAAATATGAGTGTGAGGCTTATCAGTCTTATCATATGTGATTTTTTATTGTGATAAATTTTCAATATTTAACAATTCCATTCTCAATACTACTATTCTCTGTGATATGCTAACAAATTTCATTCTAATTGTTGATAAATTTCAATAAATATATTTTAACATAATTATCAATCTGAGTAATTTCAAATTTATAAAAAGTTTTCTTCATTTATTGTATAAAATAATTATACTTTTTGTTTTGTTAAAAAAAAAAAAAAAAGAAAACATTATTTATTCTTATTTAACACTTTTGACTATTTTGTTAAAATGATTAGATTGAAAATTTTTCATGAATTTATTGATACTATCATAGCTATATGATTATGATTTGATCATTTTTCAATCAGATAAGATCAAAAAATTATGGAATAATTAATTTAATATTGTAAATTAATATATCAAACATTTTATATTTTTTAACTTTGAATGCAAACACATTTCAACAAATTATAAGAATTTTTCAAAAATTCTAAATTGTTTCATTCAATGTTAAATTATTTTAAAAATTTAAATTAGACGACATTTAGTTATTTTTCATTCAGTCAATTATACTTGAATTTAGTGTATTTCAATCATTTCATTAAAATTAAAAAATAATTTTTGAGTAATACAAAAACGATATTTTCATTTTCTATTACAAATGAATAGAAAAAATGATGTAAAAAATGATTATTTTAGAATGATAAAGTTGAAAAATTGATTATAATAATAGTTTAGTCAATAAAATTAATAAAAATGATAATTAAAAGAAAGCAATTTTTACTATAAAAGAAAAATGAATAATCTTAAAATTTAAACAAATCAAAAAAATAGACTAAATTTTTTTTTTTTTTTTGCATTTCAACTATTCAACTTTTTTTTTTCAATTCGCTAAATTAAATTTTAAAAAATTTTGAACTTAAAAGTAATTTATGAAAGGACATAATAAAGTTGAATAGCTATATATCTGTTAATATTGTTATATTTATTAAATTGAAAGTTTTTTTTTTTTGTGAGAAATTAGAATAAAATTATAACTTTGATTCCTCACACAATATTACAATTTTGCTAATTTGATAACTTTTAAGATAAGTTTAACAAATAAAAATATGATAAATGTTAAATGATAAAAGAAATAAGAATAAATGAATAAACGAGAGAGAGAGAGAGAGAGAGAGAGAGAGAGAGGGAGAGGGAGAGAGAGATAAAAGTAAAAAATATGATAAATAATAAAAGAGAAATTGTAAAGAAAAAAAAAAAAAGGAAAGAAAGAAAGAATAAATGTGAAAATGTGCAATGAAAATGAAATTATCATTAATTCTATGATTGAAAATCTTTTTTTTTCTTTTTTTTTTTTTCAAATCAATGTAATATCATAAAATTTCATTTAGGATAAAGTAAAGAAATGAAAAAGAAAAGTAATGAAATTAATTAAAATTGCATTGCATATATTATAAACTTTTTTTATAGGAAATATATTATATCAAATTCTTATTTCCTTTTAATTTTAATCAATCGCAAAAAAAAAAAAAAAAAAAAAAGGAAGAAAACTTGTTAATTTTGTCAGTTTAATTATTTCCGCTTATTATTTTTCAATTTTTTTTTAAATCTTTCTTCGATAACTTACTTTTTCTTTTCTTTCATTTCTTTCCCTCTCTCTCTCTCTCTCACTCTCTCTCTCTCTCGTTACTCATTTATTTTAATAAAAAAGTTTTATAAGAAAATATTTTATTCTAAAATATTAATTTAATCAATATAAGTCACTAAACTATTGCATTTCTCTTTTCATATTAGAGAAGTTTTTCCCTTTTTTCTTTTTTAACGTCAAATGTCAATTTTAACTAATAACAATAAATTTTTGTTGAAATAAATTAAAAAATTAAATAACATTAAATATTGAAAAAACGTGAACGACAACGTGAAAGTTACACGTAAATTTTAAATTGCATCACGAGAAAACGTGAACTACGCAAAAAAAAATGGAATATTATAATAATGAAATAATGCTATAGTAATGTATTAAATTGATGAATGGAATTTAAATAATATAATTTCAAAAAAATCATAAAATTAATACTTATCAGATTGAGAAAATTTTATAACAATCAATGTGAGAAAAAAAAATTAAAAAATTGAATTTTATATTTACTTAATTGTAAAGTTATGCAACATGAAAAGTATAATTTGGATTGATTGCTGAAACAAATAATATTTTAAATAATAAGAAATGAATAATTAATTGAGAAATGATAAGTGATAATTAAGAGATAATAAATGCTAGGTTAGATCTATTATATCAATTAAACATTACTTTGAAAAATTTTTTTTCCTATTAAAAAGTTATTAATGATGATAATTTCATTCGAAATACTTATACTGCAATGATAAATTTGATAAAATTTATCATTAAATCATTTTGATTCATCATGAAATCACTCTGATTCATCATTTTAGTGATAAATTGAAATTCTAACTATATTTTTTTTTTCCAAAAAAAAAATAAAAAATAAAATACATTTTGACTATTTCTACTTTTATATTTAATATTTCTTTTTTGTTTAATTACTTGTTGCTATGAAATTAAATATTAATATTTTGAAAATATTTTACATTCAATTATAATTTAAGTTAAATTTACATTTCATTGTTAATTAATTAATATTAGCATTAAAATATTGAAATATTTTTGGGAATAAAATAAAAAAAAAAAAGGAATTCGATTATAATATATTTAATATTAAAATAATAACTTTTTTTTCTTTCTTATTAATTTATGTTTTATATTTGCTATAATTTTCTTTTTACGTTTTTTCATTTATAATTTAATTTTTAGTTATTTGATAAGATTTATTGATTAATTTTCATTTCTAAATGAAACTTTTTTTCATTGAAATTATAGAATTAATATTAATAAAAATTATTTACAATGCAATATGTTGTTTATATTTACCAATGTTTAATTTAGTAAACAAATAAACTATCATTAAATGATAAAATTTATCTGACAATTAATGAAATTTAGAAATTTTCATCTGCCACATTTTTTTTTTTTTATTTACATTTTACACTTTCTAAATAAAATGGCTAAACAGTGAGAGAGTGCTCAAAAGAAAAAAAAAATAAATAAATAAATAATTTAATAAATAATCTTTTGCAGAAATATTAGTTTTTCTTTTTGAATCATAAATTTAATATCAGATAATCCTTTTTTTTAAAAAAAAAAAAAAAAATATTACACAATCTGTTATTATTGATCGCTGTATCAAATCATTGTATTAAATGTTACAGAAAAAAAGAAAAAAAAAATAATTAAGTAAAAATAATAGTTTGATTAATTTCAATTCAATTCATTAAATAACATTCAATGTAAAGATGACCAGTTCAATTAGAGAGAGAGAGAGAGAGAGAGATCATTTTTTGTTTTTGAGTTTTATTAAAAGAAGAAATATTTTCTCTTGTATGATAAATATAAAAAAGTATTAAGATAGCAGTGATAAGAGCGCTTGTTTATCATTTTTTATCATTTATTCGAGAATAATTCCTACAAAATCATTGCAAACATTTCCTATCCAAGAAGAAATCTCAATTTCATGGCAATCAATTGTGCATATTTTGGTTTTGAAAGTAGCGTCAGCTGTTAAAATGATATTTAATCAGCGTTGGTGCATTTGGCTCATTTGTTATGCGGGTGGAGAATAAGGGATTGAGATAAGGGTCGGTGGTTAATGATAAAAATTTTGCTTTACTAGTGATAACACTTTTCACATTTCGATTCATTTTCATTTCGTTTAAATTACATTTTTGTTTTTTAACTTTATTAAAATTTTCTTTAATTTTTATTCTTTCTTATGACTATATATACACATATATGAAAAGATAATTGATTATTTTAGAATAGGTAATTAATTATTTTACTACTTCTCTTATCATTTCATCAAATTATCAGTTAATTAATTTAGCAACTGTAATATGTTTTATCATTAATAATTACATCTATGAAACAAATATTACTGTAAGTATTACTTATAATTAGTATTGTTTGATTTGAATGAGCATTAATTTCAATTGCTTAGTGTATTATTATATTTATTTCAAATAAATATGCATTTTTGAAAGATTTGAAAATGTAGCTAAAAATTAAAGCTTGAATTGAGTTAATTTAAATTTAGCTTAAAATGTGATAGCACTTTAATCATTTAACACAATTTGATTTAGCATATGATAAGCTAATCGATTAAATACAAAGCATTTTCATATATGATATACAATGTTCATTATCATAATCTTTTTTTTTTTTTTTTAATTTAACAACAAACGAGTTGACAGGTTGACAATATTATTAACAATTCAAAAATATATATATATACTAATGTTTTATCAGCAATATAGAACTTTTGCTATATGATTGAAAATAGGCTAATTTTATAGGCAAAATAAAAGCAAAAGAGCTAATTTTAAAAAAAATTGTCGAAAATTTAGATTTAAATAATATTTTGTAAAGAAATATTGTCACAATTTTCTAAATTTTATCCTAATTCATCCCATCTTATCTTATCATATCGTAGTATCACTTATCAGTTAGCATTTTTAATAGTTTATTCCAAGGAAAAAAAAGAAAAAGCGAAAAAAAAAAAAAAAAAAAAAAAAAAAAAACAAAGAACAAAAAAATTCTCAAACATTCATTAATTCATTCACTTCAATCCAATTCAATTCAATTCATTCATTCATTTCTCTTTCCTTTCTTTCACCTCAATAAAGCAAAGTAACTTTCAATGCATTTAAAAAAGTGAAAGGAAGAAAAAAATGCTTTTTACATTTTTATAACTTTCATTGTTATCGAACATTCCACACATAAACTTTTCAATAAAGCATTTAGCTTAGCTTAAATTTCAGTGAAATATATGACAGAAAGAGTGAGTGAGTGGGTGGATGGATAGATAGATGGATTGGATGGATGAATGGGTGAATGGGTGAATGGGTGAGGAGCCATAGGCGCAATATGGATGAATACGTCAGCCATAGGCGCAATATGGATGAATACGTCAGCCATAGGCGCAATATGGATGAATACGTCAGCCATAGGCGCAATATGGATGAATACGTCAGCCATAGGCGCAATATGGATGAATACGTCAGCCATAGGCGCAATATGGATGAATACGTCAGCCATAGGCGCAATATGGATGAATACGTCAGCCATAGGCGCAATATGGATGAATACGTCAGCCATAGGCGCAATATGGATGAATACGTCAGCCATAGGCGCAATATGGATGGATCAGTGAGCCATAGGCGCAAAATGGATGGATAAGTGAGCCATAGGCGCAAAATGGATGGATAAGTGAGCCATAGGCGCAAAATGGATGGATAAGTGAGCCATAGGCGCAAAATGGATGGATAAGTGAGCCATAGGCGCAAAATGGATGGATAAGTGAGCCATAGGCGCAAAATGGATGGATAAGTGAGCCATAGGCGCAAAATGGATGGATAAGTGAGCCATAGGCGCAAAATGGATGGATAAGTGAGCCATAGGCGCAAAATGGATGGATAAGTGAGCCATAGGCGCAAAATGGATAGATTATAGCCAATAATCCTCATTTCGTCCAACTTTTTCAATTTTTTATTTTATTTATTTGCATTAATTTATGCGATTCTTTTCTTCTCCTTTCAGTAATTTTTGTGAGAAAGAATTAGAAAAATTAAGTTATACTTAATCTTTTCTTTTTTCTTTCTTTCATCAATTCATTGGCTTCTTTTGGCTCATTTATTGTTGGCTCATATTGAATGCATTGAAAAGTAAAAGTGTTGATTGATATTTTTTTTTTTGTATAAATAGTGAAAAATTTTTTTAATCTAATATGTGATCAAAAAATAATTGGCCAAGAAGAAATTGATCATTTCCATGTGAAAAATATGATAATATTATTGAAATTTTGAGAGAAAGGGAGAGAGAGGGAGAGGGAGGGAGAGAGAGAGAGAGAGAGAGAAAAGGAGTAGGAAACTGAGTGATCATTAGGATTTGTTTAAAATTATCAAAATAACATTTTTTTTTTTTTTTTAACAAATAAATTGAAAGAAAAAAAAGTATGAAAAAAGCAAAGAAAAAAAAAATTGAAAAGATGAGAAATTATTTTAATTGTTTAGAAAATGGAATGCTAATTAATTCATTTCATACTTCAATAAAATATTGAATTAAACTTTTTCTATAATAATAGAAAAAAAAAAAAAGGAAAAAGCAAAATAGCTAAAATTCATTTATTCTTTTAATTAAAAATATAATCCATAAAATAAGTCCTTGCAAATAATATTCGATATTTTTAGAAAAAAAAAAAAAAAAAATTCAGTGCAACGAATTTTTGTTTGTTAAATGTGTTCAAAAAAATTTTTTAAAATTTAACAAAAAGAAAAAAAAATTTTTCTTTTTTCTTCTCGTACGAAATATTTTTGTTTTAAACATTACGACAAAGTGAAGCGTTTTTTTTTTTTTTTTTTTTTTCATTCGCAAAATTTATTTTCAGAAAATGGTTTGCGCTACACAAAATTATAAATAGTAAATAATTTTTGTGAGAAGAAAGAGAAAGAAATTTATTTTCTTCTTTCATTCGAATTCAAATGATAACAAATGATGCGGTGATAACCTCAGCATTTTCACGGATGTGACAAAGTATTTTCATGAAGTAATTATCACTAAGTAATATCAGTAATATGATAAGTAATATCATTAAGTAATATAAATATCATAAGTAATATCAATAGTATGATAAGTAGTATCATTAAGTAATGTCATTAATATAATAAGTAGTATCATTAAGTAATATCAATAATATGATAAGTAGTATCATTAAGTCATATCAGTAATATGATAAGTAATATCATTAAGTAATATAATTATCATAAGTAATATCAATATGATAAGTAATATCATAAGTTCATATCGTTATTCTTTATTTCGCTCATTTCATTTAATTAATCCAAGAAAAAACGAATGTGAAAACTAAGAAATTTTAATTATTTAATTTTTTTGTTTAAAAAAAAAAATTCAATCATTCATTATATATGAAGGAAAAGACTGATTTATAGCAATTTTATGCATATGATAGAACTAACTTCTTTAACTTTTATTGATTTTAGTAATTTATCACTATTTAATTTAAAATATGCCACATCAATCGATCGATTGCCTTGATTGATTGATTGATTAATCGATTGAATGATTGATTGATTAATCGATTGATTGATTGATTAACTATGCTTTATTGATTTGCATATTAACAATAAAATTAAAAAGGATGAAAAGAGATAGTAATTACTTATTTCATACTTACAAGTAAGATCGAATTAGAAATTTTAACATAATAATTGTTAGTAATATTATCAATTTAATTTTTTTTTTTTTTTGCTTATTTTCTTATTGAAAAAATTATAAAGTAATTTGATAAAAGTTAGTCTAAAATTTTATTTTATTTTTTCTCTTTTAATTTTTTAAACTTAAATATTTATTCTTCTCTATCTCTTAAATATAATTATTTTCTAGGAGATTGCATAATGATCAATAAAGATATGTTTGACAATATGCATTACAATGATTCAATCAATTCTGTCACCTGTAATTTTTTTTTTTTTTTGCCTTTTTCAAATTTCAAATTTATTATTTAATAAATTAAACATTCTTACATATATTAAATTTTTCAATTCGATACAATTTTATAATTAAAATTAAAAAGAGAGAAAAAAATGTGATAATAAAAATAAAAAATATTAATTTGCTAATAAAGAAAAATGTTTTCATCAAATTTACAAATTATTAATGATAAAATTAAATTATCAATAAAAGCTATTATTTACTGTTTAATGATATTTGCATTGTTGATTTTTATACTTTCCTATAATTTTAAATGATAAAAAAAATTTTTTTTTTTTTTGAATTATTATTATTATTTTTTTTTTTCAAAGGATATATTTTAATTGAAAGATTTATTCATTTTTAATTGCTAAAAAAAAAAAATTATGAATTGAAAAATATTGTTTTTATTTTTATGAAATATTATGTAAACAATTATTTGTAGTACATTTGTCACCATCAGCTACGACACTGTCAAATGATGGATCATCGTTGATATTTGATGGACCAACAATTACACTACCATCAGGTTTATTCATTTATTTTCATTGAATTAACTTCAAATTTTATTTTTAGATTTTATATTTATACAAAATTAATAAAAATGTTTATATTATAGTGATAATATAGTTTTTTATCAATTTGTGTTAAATTTCATTTTAGGTGATAAAACGACAATTATCTGTGAGCCAACAGTTGCTGGTGATACGGACAATAGGCCAACGTTAAAAGTAAACTTTTGATTTTTTTTTTTTTTGATTTAATATTATGAAAATTTCTTTCATTTGATAAAATTTTCAATTTTAATTTTTGTTATTAAAATTGATTCAAACTATTGTATCAACAAATTATTTTATTCATTTGATTTAATATTCAAATGGAATATTTCATTTGTTCATAATTAATAAGTATGAATTATTTTATGAATTAACAATTTTAATTTTAAATTTCATTTTCAATAGAGATAAAAATTTTAATTATATATCGTAAATAAAGAATAGAATGATTATAAATTTGTCAATTGTTAATCAAAAAATATAACTATCATCTTTTTATTTTATTATTCATTTAAATATATAATAAACAAATATATATTAGTGCATTAGCTAATTAATTAAATTAATCGATCAATTAACAAAGTAATGTACAGACATCTGCATGGAATAATATGCAAAAAATAATAATAATATTTATTATTTGTATTGCTAAAATATTTGAAACTGACATCTAATAATAATTTATCTAATAATTTATTTCAAATTATTTATTAATTTATCTGTTTTATTTATTAATTTATTTATTTTAAATTATTTATTAATTTATCTGTTTTATTTATTAATTTATTTATTTTAAATTATTTATTAATTAATCTATTTTATTTATTAATTTATTTATTTCAAATTATTTATCTATTTTTTTTATTAATTTATTTATTTTAAATTATTTATTAATTTAATCAATTTATTTATTAATTTATTTAAAAGTCTAATTAACTAAAATAATTTTATTCAAAAATTACACTAAACAAAAAAATTATGTAATCATTTTTTCATTCATTTTCACTTCAATTTTTCCTTTCATCGATGTGATTTTTTCTTTTTCTTTTTTTTTTTTATTTATGAAATAATATTCGAAATTAATCGATATGCAAATTAAATATTTATTCAATTAATTAAACTTCAAAAAATTGAATTGTCAGTTATCAATTATCGATTATTATTATTATTATTATTATTATTATTATTATTATTATTATTATTATCATCATTATTATTATTATTATTATTATTATTATTAGATTTTAAATTTCTAGTTATTGTTTATAATCTTTAAATGTGGATTGCATTTTTGTAAAAGCTAAATAATTTATGCAACATTTCATAAATGAATTGTATTGCTGAATAATTAAAATGAAAAAAATTAATTTCCAATTTTATCTGAAATCATTTACATAATATACTTTTTTTTTTAATAATTTAATTTCAGGTTTTCATTTTCAATATGACTGTATATAATTAATTCATTATTATTTCATTTTGTTTACAGCGTTTTGTAATTATTATATGAGAAATAAATAATTCCATCATATCATTTATATTAACGTAATTTTTTCTTACGTCTTTCCTACGTCTCTTCTCACGTCTTACGTCTTAATTCATTTTTATTTACATCGATTTCATTAGATTTAACAATAAATTAATCAAAAGTAGATTACTTTCTATATTAGAAAGTAAAATACTATTACTTCTATCCTAATTTTTCCATTCTACAGGTAATATATAATAAATTATAATGATTGTATCGAAGAGAAAGAAAAAAAAAATATTACAGTTTGCGCCAGTAATTTGTGAGCAAGGACCAAGTGCGCCATCATCACCAACAAGTCCAGGAGGTTCTCGTATACGTCGTCCTCGTCCATTAAATGCAGATGCTATGGAACGAATAAGCGTTGTAAAATTATTAATTCATTATTAGATTTTTTTTTTTTTAATTTGAAATGATTTAATTTTGTTACTATAAAATTTTAATTAAATTTTTTATTTTACTTTTTTAGAAAATAAATATTCAATCATTTTTATTCTATTATTTAAATCTAAGAAAAAGTGGATAAAATGATAAAATTTTAAGCAAAAATAAATTGACAAAGAGTCATCAAAATATATTATTATATATAATTAAATGAATAACAAAATTCTATTAAAATGTTAATCAATTTTAAATTGATAAAAGTACTGATAAGGAATAATCATTTTGTACACAGTTAACGACGAATTATTTGGCAACAATGAATTTGAATAAATTATCACCACTTAGTCCATATGCTACAAGTGATTTGGGGTCAAGTCCTCGAAGTTCGATTAGTCTGGCACCAAGCAGCCTAAGTCCGTGTTGGACTAATTTCAGGGATAGTAAAAAATCAAGGTTAGTTCATTACTTTTTTTTTTTTGCAAATTATTTAATATATTATAATGATGGTAGTAAAAAGTTAGACATAAAGTATTACATTAGGTAAGTAATTATAAGTATGTTTCATTGAGACTTTTTGTGATTCTTCATGTTGTAACCTTTGACCCGACCATAACATACTTACAATATATTGCATGTCACATCTATAGGTGTTATATACTGATAACACGGTGTGATATGATATGATATGAGTGAAGTTAAGAAATTTATTTCAGAAGGAATTTAAAATAGATCAAATAATATCTGATAATACTTTTTTTATTTATTCATCAAATACTGTATAATAATTAATATATCTTAAATTAATATAATAAAAAATACTATGCATAATAATTATTTAATAAGTATACAAAACAATTGACTATTTCACGTACGTACGTGTCCGTCTGCAAAAAAAAATAATAATGTATATTTGTAGAAATGAAAATTTTTTGAAAATAAAATAATTTAATCAGAATGAATTTCAGCCTTGAAGGTGATGGTGATTCGGATATTTACTCCAAAGATCTTCTTTCACCTTGTATGTACTCTCCAGCACCGTTCAGTCCATTTAGTGATTGCACCGAGCCACCGGAAACACCGTTATCTGCTTGTGGTACAGGTGCATCACCTGCTTTGTCACCTTTACTCTCGATGCAATCGTTGCACTTCAAGTAATTCATTCATAAGGTTTTTGTATTTCAATTTTGGTTAATGATCTTCAAAAAAAAAAAAAAATGAAAAAAAAAGTAAAATTATTCCTTTCATTTTTTTTTTTTTAACTTTTATTTTAAATATATTTGTTTAACATTTATTAGGTAATTTTTTTAAACAATAAATCTTTTAGCTTTGACACAATTCGAAGTTCTAGTTCACTATCAGGTCGTGTTGATGTTAGTCATCATCATCTTTTGGTACCTGAATCAAACCTGAATTTTCAATCAAGGTAAATTCTTTCTTTTTTCTTTTTAATCTCATATGCAAATATCAAAATAGGAAGTAAAAACTATTGAATTATTACCTGTATGAGAATAATTTTCAGGGAAAGAAGTCGTTCAGATGGTGAGGTGACATCAAATGGAAATAATGAAAAGATGGACACTTCAGTGGGACAATCTACCGTATCGGTAATTGTAACATTTATTAGAAAATTCATAAACAATTAAGAAATAAACAATTCTTTAAAAATAACTCATAATTGAACCATTTAATTCATAACTTTTGTAGAAATTGTCCGAATTTTTTTTTTTAAATTTAATCATTTAATTCATAATTTTTTAAAAAATTATCATAATAAAAATTAGAAATGATTAGAAAGTTTATTTCTTTCTTTCTTTTTCTTTTTTTTTTTTTTTTAGATTCCAACAACATCCCATCGTTTATCATCAGCATCAGGTCAATACAAGAAACGATTGCTACAAAAATATGAAAAGGAACAGGAAGATAAAAAGGTTCAAAAACGACAGTCAAATCAGTATGCTTCTTTCATCAATAATACACTTTCTTGTCCAACTAATGTACAAACAACAGTTAGTCTTATAGAGGTTTGCAAAATATTATTTATTTATTTATTTACTTATTTATTTTTTTTTTAAAAAAAACAAAATTAAAAATGAAGCGAAGCAACAAAAGATTCTTCTGATTATTACTATTATTTTATTTATTTATTTTTTTGGTCGCATTATTTGGAATAATTTATGGTTTAATTTCATATTAATTATTAATTCATTTCAATTTGAAAATTTTTTTATAAATTTATGGAAAGAAGAATATTAAAATATAAACTTTTTTTTTTTAGAAATGACAAATGTTTGTTGACATTTTTGTTTTTTTGCGTCAGAATAAAATATTATAATATTTTGATAAAATTTTAGGAAACAAAAGAATTAGAAAAAAAGAATGCTATATGGTTGTTAAATAATGAAAAGTCAATCGATGATAGCTCATCAAAATCTGTTGAATGTGAACCAAAACAGGTAAATTTACCTATTTATCAAAATAATGTTAACATTTTTTTTTTTTATCCATTCATACATTATAAAATTTTAATAAAATATGAAAAAATTCTAGAAGAGAAAAAAAAGATGTGAAATTGAAAGTTAGAAATTACTAATGTAATTTTTACTTATATCATATTTGTATATATTCTTATTTTATAATAATATTTTAATTATATAAATTTGTTTCATTCAATATTTTAAAAGTTTAATTGCATAATTTATACCTTTAAAAGTAAATTAATTTTAAAAAATGCATACCGGAAATAATTTTTTTAATATTTATTAAAAATTGATTTATTAAGAAAAAAAAAAGATTAAAAATGAATTTTATTGATAATTACAGCCATTATTATCAGCAACTGAGCCATTTGCAAGTCAACAACAATTCAATGTTTGGATGCAACATCAACTTCTTACCTGGCGTAATCACTGGTATCAGAATGCAAATGCCTTATCATCAATTCGTAGCCCTGCAATAATTGGTGTAAGTTAATTTTAATTATCTAACTGATATAATCTTATTTTAATTTATTTTCCATTATCATTTGATTATTTAATACATAAATTAATCATTTTTTAATATTTCATTAATTTTATAGAAAGAATTTATTGTCTATTATCATAATTCCATAAATTGATTAGCTAATTGATAATAATTGAATGATTAATTTTAATAATTTGAAGTTTATTTTTTTGCTCAGATGGGTGGTGCATGTCTATTAACAGAGCCACATGATCATATGTCACGTGGGATGACACGAAGTACTAATTCACCTGAAATGGAAAGTAATTTTGGACCAATTCGAGTTTGTTATTCTTTCTTGAAAAAGTTTAAAAAGAAAGACTATTCTAATTATCATAACAATTAGTATATTTGATGATAATAAAAAAATTATAAAGAAAATTATAACTTTTTCATATTGAACAAATTATTTCAAAAAAAAAAAAAAAGATTTTTAGTTTTTTTTTTTTTGCTTTTTATAGGTTATTATTTGATGATCAAATTCTAGGATAAATGATTTCAGTCTGGAACATTCTGGCGAAGAAGTCGTTCAGAATCAGATGTCACTTTCGGAAATTATGTATGTCAACATTGTGGACAAGTATGTTTTTTCCCTCTCTCTCTCTCTCTCTCTCTCTCTCTCTTTCCCTCTCTCTCCTTGTCAAAATAACACTTCAATTATGATTGCAATACCGTTGTGATTTACAAAATATTACTTGTATACCATCATTACTGCATTTAAAAAGTTCGTAGTCTCAGGCCTGGTTCATCAACTGGATGAGAACTAGACTAGAACTAGGCTCCTAGGCTAATATTGCCAATTTGTCAGTTACCTTAATTGATGCATATAGTCGCTAGCTAATTTACCTTGAATAATTTTTAAAATATTAACTTAAAAACATTAAAATTTATAAAATGATTGCTTAAAAAACTTATCTTTTCGAAAATTTTCTTTTATTTTTCTAGTCTATTAGATTATATATATATTTATGTATGGTTATTGAAAGGAAAAAAAAGATTCATTATTAAATTATTCGTCGAAAGAGCCGAAATGTCAGTAAGTACTTTAAGGCATTTGGGCTGCATGATAGACTTGCAAAGCATATTGCTTCACGTCATCGTGATCGTTCAGCTTCAGTTGCTGGAAAAGATGGCTTATCAAAAGCTCATAAATGTACGATGTGTAACAAATCGTTTGGTAGAAGTGACATGCTAACTAGGTATTTAATTTTTTTAAATGTCAAACAAAAAGAATTGAGATGACAGAGAAAGATGTCATTGTGTTCATTGCATGATTAATTAATGAGCTTAATTACTAATTAAATTAGATTTTAAAAATTTCTAAAGATAATTAATATTTGTAAATTATTACTTCTATTTTTTCAGACATATGCGATTACATACTGGCATTAAACCTTATGGATGTCAGGTATGTGGTCAGGTATTTTCGAGAAGTGACCATTTGAGTACACATCAAAGGACTCACACTGGAGAAAAGCCATATCAATGTCCTCAATGCAACTATGCTGCCGTAAGTATATGTGATTCTCGAATAGTGATTACAGTTAATGAATTTTTTGACTCTCGAATAGCGATTACAGTTAATGAATTTTTTGATATATTTACTAAATGCTTCAATAAAAATGTTAAATTCAAGAAACTTAAAAAATTTTGGCTTATTTGGCTTAATGATCAAAGAAAATATTAATACTAAAAAATAAGTAAAATATTATTTTTCTTTTTTTTTTTTAGAGTCGACGTGATATGATAACACGTCATATGCGAACACATATTCGTCCACCGGGATCTCCCGAATTTAATCCTTTAGCAATAAGCCAATTATCACTGAGTCATTCAAGCAGTCAATTGCATCAATCAGAAACGATAGTTGGTGACACTTTAAGTCTAACTGCGCCATGTTTCTCTTCCACTAATTTATCACCAATTTCTCAGCAATTTACAAAAAATCCACTAATGATGTGTACTGCAAATGCAGTTGCTACTGCTACTGCAGTTGCAGTAACTGCCATTGCTGATGGTAAGTTATCATTAAATTGAAGTTTTAACATAGAAAAATAACAATGATAAAATGAGTAAAATAATAAATTTAATCTTTCGTTGGATAAATCAATGATATATTTCTCTCATTTCTAACTGATACTTTGATGATTTATAATAAAAATGAAATTATTTTAAGTTTTATTCTAGATTGTTTGCCTAACACTATGGGAACACTTCCATTATTGCAAAAATTACCGATTGCAGCAACTGTGCCAAATTTAATTGGATCAAACTTACGACGTAGTGCCTTTACGGCACACGGTAAACTTGCGGCATCGCTTTCATCAATAACAAATTCATCACAGAATTCATCAACTAGCACTAGCAGCAGTTCATTCATTTTACCTAGCACTAATTCTCTACAATCCTCTCATTCATCACAAACAAGTCCAACTTTATGTCGACAAGCAAGTATTGGTGGCTTTTCATCCACCTGCTCAACCTGATTGAATTTTTAAATGACATTGTACTAAGTAATCTATTTAATATCAAATATTTAAATTGATGAAAAGTTCATTCTTGAAAATTTCTTCAGAAATTTTTTTAACATTTAAATTTCAAAAAATATTTGAATGGAATTATTTTCTCATTGCTTATTGAAAAGTGATCCTTTCTATGAAATATCACAACAAATTGATAGAATATCTTTCTTCTCCTTCTTCTTCTCCTTTTCATCTTATCTGTTGCATTTTTTTTAAACCAATTTTATGTTTTCTTTTTTTTTTTTTTTTCTTCATGCAATCATTAATTTATGTCACATTTCTTTTTATTTTTAGCAGTTAATGCTAAAAAGAATGGATAAAGAATTGGCGCAAATGTGATGAAACAAAACAGTTCAATTAAAAAGTAAACAAAATACTGAAAATATATTAAAGTAAAATAAGTATTACTGAAATTCTTTGATTTTTTTTTTTTGTTTTTTTATTATGAAAGATTAAAATGGAAAAATTATCAAAAATTTTCAAAATTTTTGTCAACTCTAAATCAGAATTTTATTTTTTAAAATATGGCTTTTAAAGTTATGAATATGCAAATTATAGCATAATTTGAGGATCAATTAGGTTTGTCATATTGTTTATCTCAATTGTTTTTTGTCTTTTTTGTATTCTTTTTCTCCTTATTAGATATCAGGTTTTTTATTTGTTAAAATTTCAATATTTCTAATTAGCATTTTTTCTTTTAATGATATAAAAGTTTATTTCACTCTTGAAAAATGATAATTTCATATTCATTCTTTAAGAAACACAAACAAAAAGTGTATTTAAAATAGAAAATAACAAAACGGAAGGCAATTTTGGCTACTAAAATTTTTAATTAATTCAGTTTGCTTTTTTGATCATTTTGAAAATGAATTATCATATGCAAAATTATAATTTATTCTATATTTAAATCTTTTCTTTTTTTTTCTATATTTAAAAATAACAAACTCTCAAATCTATGAATAAGTCGAATTTAAGGAATTTTTTAAAGTTCTTTTTAACAGTGTCACTAGTAATTTGCATTTAATTTTTCAACTAAAATTATTAATCCCAATTTATTAATCATTCCAATTAATGTTTTAATCAAATTTAATTACTATACAATTTGAGAAGTATCAATATCACAATGCAATGTACGACCAAATAAACTACCAATAAGTAAAGAATTTTGATGAAATAAAACAGCAGATGAACCACATATTGTTGCACCATCATTTGCATATGGTTCTGTTATCACCCAACTCTTATCATTATCCTAAAATTGAACATATAATTAAATTTAATTAAAATAAATTAATTAAATAATTGAAATAGAAGAGGAATGGAATTTACCTGTAATCGTATTCGAAGTATTTGAGACGGTGAACGTTCATCTGTATTTATTGGATTTTGCATATGTTTATGAGCTTTATAAAGTATCGGATGAAGTGCTACCCAAATATTTCCATTTTTAGTTTCAATAAATATTTTATTTGGTGATGAAAGAAGTGAAATTTCAGTTGCAAATACCACTGACATATCTTTTCGTAAATGATAAATTCGTATAAACTAAATTAAAAATATTATTTAAAAAAAACAAAAAAAAAAAAATTGGAATTTATTTCTTTTTTTTTTTTTTGAAATTATTAATTTATCATTTAACATATAATTTTTTATTAATTCTTTTAATGTATAAAATATTTATTCATTTATTAATAATATCACTTTTTTTTTTTTAATTTTATTAAAAAAAAAAAAATCAACTCACTTCATTAATTGTACTAGCAACATATAATCGATTTTGTTGCTTATTTATAGCAATTCCATTTGGTGTTGGAAAATATCTATTAAATAATATTTTAATAAAAATATATTACCAAAAAAAAAGAAATTTATTTCACTTTTTGATTTTACAAATAAAAATTAAATTTTAACGAAAAATTTATAATTTAAAATGGTATGAATTTATTATTTTACATTTCTATATTAGCATTAAAAAAAAATAAATAAATAAAATAAAATGAATATTATTTGAAATGATTATGTTTTATAAAAATATATAAAAAAAAAATAAAATTTGAAACAAACAAAAAAAAAGAAACTTTTCGAGATAATTTCCTTGTCGTCCATCATAGTAAACAATTGAACCAAATGATGTTTGCATAGCAAATTCAATAATTTGCATCCAATATTTTTGATAATAAGCATAATTGGTGGTGATAAATCGATCAGCGCCAACAACTGCTATATCAGCTAAGCTAAATTTAAAAATTTTAAAATTAAATAATTAAGAGAGAGAGAGAGAGAGAAATGATATTTTATTGAAATAAATTTATTTTTTTTTTACCAATAAAAATTTGTTATATTTAAATTTTCTTTTTTCCTCAAACAAAAAAGTGTAATTTTTATAATAAATGGAATTGAAATTGAATATATGTATATATATTAGCTTAAAAATAATTATAAATTATTAAAATTAATACATAGCAAAATTTTCATATAAAAATAAAAGTAAAATTATGAAAAAGAAAGAAAACTTTTTGAAATATGACTTACTTTCGAAATTTATCATTACTTATTGTTTTTTGATAAGTAAGAAGTAAACGTTTATGATCAAATTGAAAAACTTCCACAGTATCAGTTGTATTCTGATAAGAATTAGTGATATAAACAGTTATTCGACCTCGACTAACATATATATCAATTCCATATGGAATAAAATATTCCTATAAATATTTTTATATTAATTTTTTTTTTTTTTTATAATTCAAATGTAATTTTATTATTAAACTAATTTTAAAATGCTTTAATAAATCAAACAAAACCAAAGAAAAAAAGTCCAACAAAAAAAAGAAAAAAAGACCTTAAAATTTCATTCAAATAAATTCTGAAAATTTTTTGACAAAAATTTTAATTATATCAATAAGTTTGAATAATATTTAAGATGAAAAATAATTGAAGTATTCAAAATTTACACTTAATTTTTCCATCAATTTTATCGATGAAATTAATTTTACTAATTAGAAAATCTGAAATTTTCATTGTATTCTGAAATTATTTGAAAATTATTCAACAAAATTTTATAAAATTTTTTAAAATTATTCAATAATAATAATAATTTCAGATTTTTTTTTTAACAAAAATTAATTCTTAGCGAAAAAAAGAAAAAAAAAACGACGCATTTATTGATTAAAAAAATTAATTTTTAACATTACCAAATTAAATCCTTTAATTTTCAATTTCTTAGCTTCATAATTTCTATTTTCCGTAAAATTATAAACGAATATTGCACCAGTAATATTACTAACTCCTCGACTTTTTGCATATCCGCTTGTTATCAATGCAATATTCAATTCCGGAATGAGTACCATTCCGGCTGAACCATTTGCTACAATTTATTTAAACAATATTACAAATTATTTAACTAAATAATTAATATAAGAATTTGACAATTAAAATCTCTTTCTCCCTCTCTCTCTCTCTCTCTCTCTCCTTTCTTCTCTTCTTTCTCTCAAAGATTTCACTTTAAAAAGTATAAAATAAAAGTTTCTTTTTCAGAAAAAAAAAAAAAAGGAGTAATAAATTAAAAATTAATACCAAATATTCCGGTAGATGTACGAATAAATCGACATGAGCCAGGTGTATGATTGTAAACACGTTTGTTTATATCCAATAATAAACTAAACTTAATCAAATTAATTTGAAAATAACAAATTAAAAAAAAAAAAAAGCATTTAAATTTATATTTCTAATTATGCTAATAACTATTATTTGCTAATGTAATTGAATCATTTATTGTGATAAAATTTTAAATTTAAAAAATAATAAAAATTATTAAAACATACATAAATCGAATTAGTAAACTGCAACTTAATCCAATGAATAATAATGTTATTATTGAATTAGTCATTACAAATGATAATTTTTCATTCTAAATGATAATAACAAATTAAATAATAAAATATTTTTTATTTTCATTTTTAAAATTTACAAACAATTTCTTATTAATTACTTTATTTACTTTATCAATTTTATAATCATTTAACACTTTTACATTTTAATATTTGCATATTTAATGAGGAAAACTACAAAAAAAATTTTTTTTTTTTTTTTAAATCATATTTCAATTAAAAGAAAAAAAATTTTTAATTTCTAATAAAAATTTAACAAAAAAAAAGAGAGAGAGAGAGAGAGAGAGAGAGAGAGAGCAAACATTATGAATTAATAAAAAAGAAAAATGAATAAATAGAAAAAGCATTGATCAGAGTCAAATTTCACAAATATTAAATTTATTCCAGAAGGAATAAGTCTACAAGCTATCGTTCAATTTTCAATTTCATTGCTATGAATGAACAGAGAGAGAGAGAGAGAGAGAGAGATACATATAACTTTACATTTTAAAATCACCTTCTCTCTCTCTCTCTCTCTCTCTCTCCCTCTCTCTCCCTCTCTCTCTCTCTCTGAAGGCAAAACAGATCGATTTTGCACAATTAGTCTGAGCAATACTTTTTATCCAAAGCATATCATCATTCATCATTCATTCATCGTTCCTTATATTATCCTCATTTCCGGTCAGTAAAAATTTCCGGATGAATTTTCCTGAGATGAGTATGCATTAGATTACAATTGAATTGATATTATCAATTAATATCATAATTTCTTACTATCATTTCTACATAATATTTCAAATTATCATTATTTTCTAAATTAATTCATTCTTAATTAATTTGCATTAAATTTAACAGTGATAATACGAATGATAAATAAATTTTGAAAAAAAAAAAAAGAAAAAATTGGGATAATATTTGAGAAAATGACAATATGTGACAAATAGATGTGACAATTTTTTTTTTTTTTTATGATAATGACAAAATAATGTGTAATTAATATATTTACAAAAAATTTCAACTTCATTTTAATTTATAATAATTGAAACTATACGATATTAAAAAAAATAATTTAAAAATAAAATTTTCTAATTTTATCAA